CGCGCTCAACCAGTGAGCAGACCAGTCTCTATGTGGGATCCGAACCCTCGGCGGGAGCGCCACCGCGCTTCCCAAGCGGGGCACTATAGCAGTGCGCCACCAGGCCGGCCCCTGCCACCTGTTTTTATAAATAAAGTTTTATTGGGGCATAACCATGCTCATTTGTTTACCTATTGTCTATGCCCGCTTTCACACCAAAATGTTAGAGTTGAGTAGTTATGACAGAGAACAGCCTGAAAAACTTAAAATATTATCTGGCCTTTTACAGAAAGTTTGCTGACTTCTGCTTTATAGAATAGATACATAAACTTGTTTTTATTAAAAGAATACATGCACATGTTTGAACAATGAAATAGTACTAGAAGTTTTATTTCAAAAAAGAAGAGATCCCTCCCTGCTGCTCTGTTCCCCACCAGTCCCATGCTTCAGAGCATCTAGTCCTTCTATACGTCTTCTCTGGCATTTACGTTACATTCTAAATAATATCCTTATACTGCTAGTTCTTGATTTAACAACTTTGGACACTATTTATTGCCTTAACCTAGTTTGAGCTGCTCTCCTACTTTTTAGTGCCAGATTATAAGTAAGTTTATCATTTTTATCTGAGATGTAATTTTTATGATTTAAATAGTTTTCTGCATTTTCGTCAGTGCATGTAAGAAAATTAACATGACATTAGCAATAACTTTTATTTAGTATTTAATGTGTGTCAGGTACTACCTTAATGCTCTTTCTTGCAGTATCATATTTAATCTCTACAACAGCCTTGGGAAATGCAGATACTATTGTTATCTACAGTTTCTAGAGGAGGAAGTGTCATTTAGAGAGATTATGTGAATTTCCCTTTGTCAAACACCTAGTGATTGATAGAGCCGGAATTTGACATCAAGAACGTGAACTCTTAAATGTTACAGTACTCCTGGCTTGCCCGCAGGGGATGCGTTCCAAGGCCCCCGAGGGATGCCTGACACCACCTACAGTGCGAACCTTTAGCCAAGCAAGCAGAGCACGTTTTTGTTTGTCTTCCAGCCACAAATTTAACTCATTTTCTGTCTGAACCTAGCATGTAGCACGCACTGTGGCTAACTTTTGTACTTTGAGGTGCTCCAGTGAAACTAGCATGAATTTCTTTTTCTTCACAATTTTGTGGGTAAAGGATTCGTTCTTACTGCAGATCTTAGCATCTGGCTTCCCTTTGGCACCTCTGTATTGCCAGCATCACTCCTCTTGCACTTTGAGGCCATTGTTAAGTAAAATAAGGGTGACTTGGGCTGAGCCCGTGGTGCACTCGGGAGAGTGCGGCGCTGGGAGCGCAGGAGTGCTCCCGCCATGGGTTCGGATCCTATATAGGGATGGCCGGTGCGCTCACTAGCTGAGCGCGGTGTGGCCGGTCACAAAAAGGACAAAAAAAAAATAAGGGTGACTTGAACACAGGCACTGAGGTACCACGACAGTGGATCTTTAACCAAGAGGGTTGCTGAGTGACAGGCGGGCAGGATGGCGGTGTGAGACTTAAAACATGAATTGTTCATCTCTGGAATTTTCCATTTAATGTTTTGAGACCGCAGTTGACCGCAGGGACCTGCAACTTCAGATGGGGGCACTACTGTACATTTAATGCCACATGTAGCCGCGCTACTTTGACAATCGCAGACTTGTAGTTCTACTATTAGCAAATAAACTGAAGGTGGATGACATGTAAATTGCTCGGGCACAGCTTTGCAACTGTTTCATTTAGAGGTGGAGGGGCATCCAGGTAGTGGGTCAGCCGGCTGTGGGTGATTTTTCTGAGAGTAATTATATTTTCTAATGGACTTTATGAATTCCCATCTGTCAGTCTTAAGCATACATTAGAATCACCTGGCAAGCTTTTTAAAGCATGGATTACCGGGCCTCACCCCAGAGTTTCTGATTCAGGAGGTATGGTGCAGGCATGATGATTTGTATGTGTAAGGAGAAGCCAGGTGCTGCTGATGCTGCTGGCGTCAGTCCTTCCTGAGAGTGGGGGTCTTCTCTGTTGCCTTCCCTTTCTCTTAATGGTTTCATTCTCCTCCAGCTAGCGCATTAGCTCCTGGAGAGCAGTTCATATTTGTGGCTTATGTATTTCTTCTTTGACGCCACAGTGACCAGGGTCATGTTGCCCAAATAGGAGGTAGTAGTAAGTTTTTTTTTTAACTTTAAAATGGACTCACTTGATTTCTCTTCTTTACCCCCAGCTTTACTGAGGTATAATTGACAAATAAGAATATGTAAGCACAACGTAATGATTTGATATACATGTAGGTAGTGAAGTGATGACCACAATCAAGATGATCAACACACCCTTCACCTCACGTAGTTGTCCTTTTAGGTAGTGGTAAGTTGTTTGCTTTCCCTTAAAGGGCATTTTTGTAATTTTGATTTTTTCAATTATAAATAGAGTACATTCTTATTATAAAAATCATCTCTAATAGCACCATCACAAGAGCAGAAATGTTCACAGGAAGGTAGAAGGAGACCCCAAAGAATTGTCAGTGGCTTAGCAAATCATAGCTAACCATGGGGGAACTTTGTACTCGACTGGACCAGTGTGTAGAAGTATATAAGTAAAGTAACCTGAAAGATGTTGCACATGTGTGCCTTCTCTGGTTTTTAGTAGAGGCTCTTGCCTTTTACCTTGGTCATTCTGTGTGAGACTTTTTCAACCTTTTATTTGCATAGGTGACAACTGGAATCAGCATGTCTAGCACTGAGGAAGCAGTTCTTGGAGGGTGTGACAGCCACACTCCTGCTGGCAGCAACTCTGTGGTGTGGTTTGGACAGGTAACTGTGTGGTTCCTTCACGTTTGAAACAATGTGCAGAGCGTCATCTGTATGCCTGCAAGCCTTTTGTTGTTATTGGTTTTTCCTTTAGATGCATTATTTAGGAGTCTTTGGTTAACTCTCTGAGGGCATTTTGGAACTTTAGCATCAAAAGACTAATAGTACCTGGGATTACATTTAGATTTAAATCTATTTAATTTTTGGATAGATAACATGATATGAAATTCAAAATGGAACCAAGTCTACATGAGAAAAATCTCCCTACTTCCTGTCACTCGTGTCTACAGGCCACCTACTTCTCTTTCTTGGAGGCATCCCAAGTTACTGTGGTCATGTTCTTTGTAGAGATAATCTGTGCATAGAAAAGGGATTCTTGCTTTGTCCACCCAAACTCTTTGTCTTTACCTGAGATTTGTTTGTGAGTATTCATCTTATTTAAATAGGGCAATTCATATACTTATATATGGGAAATTGTTGAATTGGAGAAGAAGGTATAACACTTTGGACAAGACAAATGGAAGCAAGACTTCCTATCCTGTTTTCTTTTTTCCTGCTTTCTTCCTGCATAAACATCATATACAGACTCTAACGTGGGATGTTTTAGTTTCCTAATTCCAGCTCAAGAAAGCTTTATAAGGATGGTAGCAATGCTAAGGCAAGAGTTCTCAAAATGTGGTCCCAGGATCATGGTAGTTCATAACACCTTTCCGAGTCCGTAAAGTCAAAATTATTTTTATAATAACACTAAGATACTATTAGCCTTTTTCACACTCATTCTCTCACGGGTGAATGCTGGAGCTTTCCAAGAGGCTGCATAACATGTGACGATATTGCTCTGATGCCTACTGGAATGTGTGTCTTAAAACTTTCCCAGTTTTAATTCCTAATAGCGATAGGTGTAACCCATATAAACAAAAGCTCTTGGAGACCAACAAGTTGTTGACTCGCTGGAGTAAGGAACGGTGGAAACGTCACTTTCATGTTCTCTCCCTGGACTGTAGTGCCCGTATACAGCAGAAGAGTCCCAGGCCATCCAGAATGCTCTGAGGCAGAGGTTGGGCCCGGAATACATAAGTAGCCGCATGGCTGGAGGAGGCCAGAAGGTAGGAGAGTCCACGTGCAGGCGCCCGCACAGCGGACTGCTCAGATGATCTTGCTGCCGCCTCCTTTGGGTGCTCATGGGTTCAGAAGCCTCTCGCTCACTGCTACTGGATATTTCCTGCTGCCTCTGGGAGGGGACGGGGTTCCAGCCGTCATCGCTATCTGAAGTGGCCCAAGCGTTGTCTTGAGACTTACATAACTGCCATTTTAGGATTTTTACACCATCTTTTAAAAATGTTCCTTTCACCATGTGTTTTTAATTTTAACTACTGTATATGGTTTTGGTCTTCCATAAAATGTGTCAACCTGGAAATCATGAGTTTTGGAAACTGGTGAGTAGATATCTTTCCCCTCAGAGTCTAGTTCCTCTCCCCAGACAGACCATTAGTTCTAAGTGGCTCCTTCTAGAAGATCTTTGAAATAAATTCACGGCCTTCCCTTGCTCTGTAATGGTTTCATTAAAGAATGTTTAAGGGCAGTTTTGTCAAAAAAGAAGATAAGGAATACATTAAGTAAGTTTTGATTCACATTTAAGTATGGCAAGGAATTTTAACATAGCCTTTTTAAAAAATTTTTTTTTCCTAGGTGTGTTACATTGAGGGTCACAGGGTAATTAATCTGGCCAATGAGATGTTTGGGTACAACGGCTGGGCACACTCTATCACACAGCAGAACGTGGGTGAGTGTGCTTCCTGGCAGTGGTGACCGCCTCGTTTCCCTTGCCGTGCCTCTGTCTTGTTTCTGATGAGAGTATTTTGTGGGTGAGGATGTAAGAGGGGTGTATTTGGAGTTCAGCAGAAGGGATATTGGTGAGGCTTAGGGATCATATCCTCTTCAACTGGCTCTCTTTCCCACTCCTAGATTTTGTTGACCTCCATAATGGCAAGTTCTACGTGGGAGTCTATGCATTTGTGAGGGTCCAGTTGAAGGTGAGGGTGATGGAGTAGACTGGCTGCCTGGAAGTGTCGGTGGGTGGCAGGAGAGAGGTAGGGAAGTCTCTGGACCATGGCACAACCAAGCTAGAGAGCCAGGCCCTTGAGCTGTGTCTTAGCCAGTGTTCCTTAGGATGGTGGTATTTGAACATTCTTACTCATGTGCCCCCTAAAAGAATTTTGAAAACCTCTGTCCAATTGCATATTTTTAAGTTGACCCTTAAAATGTTTTACCATATATAGAAATAGATGCAAAGGACATATTTTCTGGCATATTATAAAATTTTACATTTTAAAATAAATGTTACATCTTTTAAAAATGTGCTAATGGAATCTAAATACTATAGGGAATTAAATACTGTCATTACTTAAAAAAAAATATGAGCAAGCTCTCCTTTAATCAGAAATTTTACTTTGTTCCTTTTTCTGAACTCATATGTCTGTTTTGTTTCCCTACTGGTTTTTATCCTAATACTTGTATATGTTTATGACTGAAAGTTTTATTGATAACCTTATTATGCATCTGCCTGTGCACATGTGTGTATATAAAAATAAATTTTTTTGGTAAATTTCCAGTGACCTTAAGGCTCTACATATTAAAAGATTTCTTCTGGAGTTAGTATTGTAGTTATTGTTGACACACAATTGATCAGACAACTGTGTTTGTTGGAGAGACAACATAAAAAAAATCACGATTTTGATAAAAATTAAATTTTATGGAAAATGCATATCTGAATGGGGTGGATGGTGCTGCTCTTTTCTTTTCAGTTTATATACAGTGATTGAGTATGGCTTATTTGTTGAATAAGCATTTAGCATTATTCTTTTTAGACTTCTTATTTTTTATAAGTAGCTCAGAAAAACCTTGTTCACATAATTAAGTAGCTGGGAATGGAAAGCGTTTTGTTACAGTATCATTCATTTCTTTCTGAGTTATTTTCCAAAAATCACAGAGTGCTATCATCAAACATTATTTTAATTTTCTATCAGAAAACAATTCAGTCAGGTCCTCTTCACTTTTGGTGAAAGCCAAGAAGTGGATACCACCTGATTTACAAAAAGATTTGCTATCCAATCATTAGATACAGTATTTCAAATGATCCTTTTGTTTGGTATCCGAGGTTTTTATGCTTGGTAAGATTTGCGATGGGTTAGAAATGTGCCTTTTTTATGTAAAAGGTGAAGTGGGAAGGGAGAATCGTTTTGACAGGTTGACCACAGACACATTTCCAGGCAGGTCAGGTCTAGGAAACAGTCCTGGAAATGGAGTTGTTACAGCCAACCGTGCCCATGTCCCCTTCAGCAAGGCCCCTGGGCCGTGCATTCTGTCTGAACACTGCTGCTTGAGAAAGAAGAGCTGTGGAGCCAGGGACACAACTGCTTTTTCATTTAGAGTTTGAACTCCTTTTCTACCCCCAGGATGGTTCATATCATGAGGACGTGGGTTATGGTGTAAGTGAGGGCCTCAAGTCAAAGGCCTTGTCTTTGGAGAAGGCCAGGAAGGAGGCGGTGACAGACGGGCTGAAGCGAGCCCTCAGGTGAGCAGAAGGGGCTGGAGTCTACCTGCTTCACATCAGCTCTTGTTTCAGAGCAGTTTTTGTTTCATTCTTTTGAAAAGGTCATTCACATGGATCAAAAATATAAATAACATAGAAAGATAAATCTCATGCCCTCCCTTGTCCCTGTCTATCCTGTTTTCCCACTTTGTTTTATATTTTCCCAGTGTTGATGCGCCCCCTTTTTGGGAATAAGTGGTAGAATGCTGCATGCTCTATCCTGGGCTTACTTCCTCCACCTCCCCGCACTCCCCCCCACCCCCCGCCGCCCCGTGTACTGAAAACCTTTCCACATGAGTCCACAGATAGCCTCTTCATTCTTTTTAATGCAACTAAACAGTTCTCCGTTATGTACAGTGTATGTAACATAGTTAACTTAGTCACACAGTTACATAGAGCAGGGTTTTTAACCTTTTTTGGGGTCATTGATGCCTTTGAGAATTGAAGTGAATTGCCAGAAAAATACACACATGCACTAACAATTTGCATTACCATATTCTGTGGGGGAGCCCCCAAATCCCAAGGTAAGAACTTTGGTGATGGAGGATTGTGCCCTTGACTCCCCACCCAAGTGTGTGTAGCCCACTTTTGTTGGGGGAAATTGGAGCAGTCCTTGGAAAAAAAATCTCTGCTTTGGAGTTTGTGCTCCACATCAGGAGGTAGCTAATGGGGTTTTGTGAATGGTTTCTTAGTCTTTTCACACTCATCGTCTCTCCTTGATGGCAGGGATTTATGTCTTTATGCTCACTGCTGTATTCTCAGAACCTAATACAGTGCAGGAACATGGCAGATGCTCAATAAACATTTATCGAATGTATGTTAGAGTCCATTTCCTCTGCTGCAGTTAAGAAGCAGCTTGTACTAAAGTTGTAACTCTGTGGGCCGGCCCGTGGCTCACTCGGGAGAGTGCGGTGCTGATAACACCAAGGCCCCGGGTTTGGATCCCATATAGGGATGGCCGGTTAGCTCACTGGTCGTATAACTTCGTATAATGTATGCTATACGAAGTTATTACGTTTCTGATTCAGGAGGTATGGTGCAGGCATGATGATTTGTATGTGTAAGGAGAAGCCAGGTGCTGCTGATGCTGCTGGCGTCAGTCCTTCCTGAGAGTGGGGGTCTTCTCTGTTGCCTTCCCTTTCTCTTAATGGTTTCATTCTCCTCCAGCTAGCGCATTAGCTCCTGGAGAGCAGTTCATATTTGTGGCTTATGTATTTCTTCTTTGACGCCACAGTGACCAGGGTCATGTTGCCCAAATTTGTAACTCTGTTTTCTGGTATTCATGTGTAATAGTTCTCAACTCTGTTTCACTTTTTTTTTTTTCCCTTACCCTTAGGAGTTTTGGGAATGCACTTGGAAATTGTATTCTGGACAAAGACTATCTGAGGTCACTTAGTAAGCTTCCACGCCAGGTATGTGAGAAATGGATGAATGGAATGTGTTGCAGTAAAGATATTACAGCAAATTCTCTTGTATCATGGGTTGAGTGTTTGTGGGATGGAGGGAGAAGTCAGGACTCAGCTGTTTAGAGGGTGTGGAATGTTTCTTTCAGGTTTTGAATGTTAGGGCTAGCAGGAAGCAATCACCTCATTTTACAGATGAAGAAATTTCAGGCCTAGCAAATTTATGTTTCTTGTCTCATATGTAGAGAACTGTGGCTGGGAATGGTCAGTGAAGCCTTAGAGTGAGCACACAGCTCTCTGCAGCACTGCTGTTGTTTCCAGATACACTCAGAACCTCACCTGTTCAGCCTTCTGTCTTTTCCTTAGCTCTAATGTCTTTAAGGTTTAGATTGCCATTACCCCTGCCAGTACCTCTTATATGAGCTGGGCATTTGTCTTTGGAGGGTGAGGTCTGCTTTTGAGTGTCCCTGGAGTCACTCTTGACCTAGGATGAGTTAGCCTTTGGGGTGCTCCTCCTGCTTGGTAGAGAGGGGCTGCTTTCTCTGTGGCATTCTCTGATGTCCCTGCCATACCACCACCCAGGGCAATATTACCCATCCTGTACCTGAGGGATGCTTTTTCTTGTGGAGCCCCTAATAGAGGTGTGTGAATTGGCATCTATCAAAACCCCCTATCTTTTTAAAAAAATTCTTTTAAGAGATTATTGGATTCTGTTTGCTAGTATTTTGTTAAATATTTTTGGATCTATGTTTATGAGGGATATTACTCTGTAATTTTCGGGGTTTTCTTTTTTTATTGTGATAAAAAATGCATAAAATTTACAGCCTTAATAATTTTTAGTGTATGGTTAAGTGGTGTTAAGGGTATTCACATTGTTGTGAAACTAATCTCTAGAACTTTTTCATTTTGTAAAAGTAAAACTCTACACTGTAAAACAACTCCCCTCCTCCCCTTCCCCCAGCCCCTGGTGACTGTCATTCTACTTTCTGTTCCTATGGATTTGACTACTCTGTGTACCTCATGTCAGTGGAACCATACAACTTTTGTCTTTTTGTGACTGGCTTATTTAATTTAGCTTTAATGTCTTGAAGATTCATGCATGTCATAGTGTGTGTCAGAATTTCATTCCTTTTTAAGTCTGAATACTATTCCATTGTATGATATGCCACATTTTGTTTATCCATTCATCTGCTGGACATTTGGGTTGCTTCCACTTCTTGGCTACTGTGAATGATGCTGCTATCTATATATGGGTGCGTATATAGCTCTTGAAGACCTCTGCTTTCAGTTCTTTTGGATATATACCCAGAAGTGGGATTGCTGAATCATGTGGTAGTTCAGTTTTTAATATTTCGAGGTACTGCTATACTGATTCCCTAGCAGTTGCACCATTTTATAATCCCAGCAACAGTGCATAAGAGTTCAGATTTCTCTACATCTTTGTTATCACTTGTTATTTTCTGGTTGTGTGTTTTTTGTTTTTTGTTTTTTTTCCCAGTAGTATCCATCCTGATGATGGGCAGTGATATTTTATTGTGGTTTTGATTTGCATATTCCTGATGATTAATAATGTTGAGCATCTTTTCATATGCTTGTTGGCCATTTGTATGTCATCTTTGGAGAAATGTCTATTTAAGTCCTTTGCCAGTTTTTAATCGGGTTATTTGATGTTTTGTTGTAGAGTTGTAGTTCTTTACATATTATGGATATTAACCCCTTATCAGATATATGATTTACAAATATTTTCTCCCATTACATAGGTTGCCTTTTAAGTTTTTAAGTTTGATGTAGTTCCATTTGTCTATTTTTGCTTCCGATGCCTGTGCTTTTGATGTCATATCCAAAAAATCATTGCCAAATCCAGTGTCATGAAGAGTTTTCTCACTGTTTTTTTCCTAGGGTTTTATAGTTTTGGGTCTTACTTCAGACTTTAATCTACTTTGTGTTTGTTTTTGTTTTGTTTTGTTTTTTGCTGCTGGTTGGTAAGGGGATCAGAACTCTTGACCTTGGTGTTATCAGCACGGTGCTCTAATCAAGTGAGCTAACCGGCCATGCTTTTTTTTTTTTTTTTTTTTTTTTTTTTTTTTTTTTTTTTTTTTTTTCCCGCCA